CCTGCTGCATTTTGCTCTTAAATTCATTTTGAAATGATGAACACGCTTTAATTCAGGGTAGGATAATTGTTTTCTTTTAAATCAATTGAAGCTGGGATGCAGAACCTTTTAATTAAATAAATATTCTTACAAAATTGCCACTTACATTAAGATTAACACTGGGCCACAGAAGTAAAAATATTCAGGTATGTGGCTTGTGGGATGTAATTAGGATTTGCTTAGAGGAATTTAGGAATTTTTAAAGTTATTGCAAATCTTTTTCTAGTGTTAGGAGAGTCAGGTTGAGCCAGGAAGGATGACTGCAATATTTTGGGCAGAGGGTCAGAGAAAGGAAACTCAACTCCTTATACTTTCACAAAATACCAGTCCCACCATTTCAGAAGCCCAAAACATATGGTACACTATAGTAATACATAATAATTTACCTTTAGTGAAAAAAGGTCGAATTTCTTTCCATAGTGCTGGATTATTATTAAATATAATACCATTTTCATGCATGCCAATACACTGTAATCCAAGTTTGCTTCCAAATCTAGAGATATATTTCCCATGTTTCATTACATGGAAGACACTGGAAGATCTGGGAAAGGAAAACAGATCATTTTTGTAAATAAGAATCTTTAATTTGACATTCTATTTCAGGCCCAATCAACCTCACAAGGGGTTGATCACTTGTGAGCCAGAGCACTTTCAACTCACAAATCCTGCACATGTAACGTTGATGTTATTTCATATACATGCAGTTTTTTAAAAGCCAACGATGTGACTGACAATATGAGGCATGGTGTTCTAAGTGTAATTTTATTTCTACATGGAGCTAGGCATACACTGTTTTCTCAGTAAAATGGCAGTTGACTGCCAGAGAAATTCAACCTGAGCAAAGAGTAGAGGTGTATAGAAATCTATAAGAACATAGACTTTGCTAGACTATTTCTGACAATGGCCAATAGCAGATGCTTCAGAAGTAGATGTACAACACTGGATGCCAGTTATACAACAACATGTCTATGGGAAAATTTCCTTCTTCATTTTAGATAGCTTGTCGTTGCCTTTCATATTGAACCATGAGGATTGATAACATTTGTACACTTTAAATTTTGCTATTGGTTAGTGTAATTGAGAATGATGTTCTTACTCTTCCTATGAGCTGATGGCTTCCTATGAGCCACCGTACAATGCAAGGGTGGGTAATAATTTCTGAAGGGAGGCCACTTCAAAAAATTTTGAAGTGGTCACAGGCCACCCTGGATGGAAGGGGCAGGGATGCAGGCAGAAGGGGCATGACCTTTAAACAGAAACAAGTGAAAGGGGTTGTGCCTCCCCTGCAGCTCCCTCTTTCAATTGCTTCTATTTAAAGGGCTCGGGCCTTAGCAGCCACTGGGAAGGAGCGAGCCCTTTAAATAGAAGCAGTTGAAAGGGCTCGCAGCTCCCAGCCCCCCTAACGCATTGCCTGGGAGCCACAGGGAAGGCACAAGTCCTTTAAATAGAAGCAGTTGAAAGGGTTCACGTGTCCGGCTTCCATGCAACGTGTTAAGGGGTGGTGCTGGGAACTGCCGCACTGACTAGATAAAAGAGCTAGGCAGGCCGGATTCGGCCTGCTGACAGGCTCTTGCCCAGCTCTTCTTCAATGATTTCTGTTAAGACCTGTTTCTCAATAATCTCTTATGGCAGTGAGTTCCACATAGGATTGCATGGGAGTCCAGAATTGGAAACCTTATATTTACCAATTACTTTTGGAATGTGGTGATGTTTTATTCATAAAGAGCATTGTGTCTGGGAAGGTTGAGTCCGATACTGCTAATATAACCTTCTGCTTCTATTCACTAGCCCTAAACACATTCAGAGAATGAGATTTTTCTAAGTCATCCATTGAAATCCAGTCCAAATATTCAGAAATTGTTTCAGTCTAACAGCTTCTTGGTCATCTAAATGAAATGAGCTGGTGTTCCATAAAGGACAGGCTTTCACATTTTAAAAACTACCAGCACTATTAGCACTAATTAGCAGTAGAAAAGATTAAACATAACCAAAACAAACATACTCAAAAGGTTTGGAAGGGATATAAATTCTCATTCTTCAGAGCATAAGCCAATCTCCATTAATGAGCGTTAGGAACAAACAAAAGCAGTGAGTATTTCTAGGGAATCTCTGGTCACGTAAATCACATGGTATTTATCTGTTTTCAGAGTAGACGCTCCATCCTTTATTAACTGCTACTGCTTCCATCCAAAATTAATGGACACTTGTGACCAAAATCATTACAGTCAACACAAAATTAGTTTTTAACTACTGACCCTGTGAGCTACTGACTTGTCACAACTGATTGTCCAAACCAAAGTTTCCTTTTATACAGGATATGTATGTGGCCATATTTTACTGTGATTTGGAATTTAGCATAATAGTTCTGAACTTTTTTTCTGCTTTTCTTCAGCTACACTTGGGGTCACAGTAAAGTTCTGATTGTTTTAGTATGCTCGAGCTATGGGACTGCAATAGTGCACAGCCTGCCTTTGAGGGATTAAAATGCGCAACTGTTAGATAACATCAATCGTAGCAGGATATACTGCCACCTATACGTGACAACTTCCTGCTGTGGGGTGCTGGAGCCCCCCACATTTACCAGGCTGTGCCACCATTCTACTCCTTGCCCCAAGCCTCCCCCTGCACCACACCTATTCAACCTCTTCCCCCAAGCTCCTCCCCCTCCACTTTCCACCCCTGCTTTTCCTCCACTGCTTCTCATTGCACCCATTTCTCCCAAGCCCCTCTTCTGCTCCATCCCCACCCTGCCCCCATTCCACCGCTTCCGATAAGACCCCGCCCTGCCCTCTCCCCTGAAGGTGCCCCACTCCTCCCCTGCCCTCCTGGGCTTCCTGAACACAGTGAATCGGCTGTTTGCAGCGCTTTGGAACTGCTGGGAGGGTGGGGAGGAGTTGATCAATGGGGCCACCAGTAAGCAAGTGGCACAAGGGAGAGAGAGGCAGAGGGACAGCTTGGCAGTGGGTGCTCTGCCCCAACTAGCTTTTCCCTGTGGTCACACTAGCCCCAAAGCACCCACTGAGTCAGCTCGTATGCTGCCACCTACACCTCTTATACATATTGGATAACTGGCAAATCTATTATGAAAATACAAATCATGTAATACAATTATGCTACCTAAACACAAACACGACCCATTGGAGAATAAGGACATCTCTCACAAAGATGCTTCTTAGAGATCAGTAAACACACCCTCAGTCTTCCAGTTTCATAGGGCTCAAGCCTTCAAGGTTCTGAGCCCTTTGGACCTTTAGCAGCTTTGTTGGATGAGAACTAAAGTGCTCATTGCTTTGCAATATCCAGCTGACAGTGCACAAGATGCCCTGCTTGATTCAGTGCCTGGCCTACCTGGGTATACATGGTGAATGCACAATATAACAAGGGCCTTGCTTTACGTAGCTTGTTACATTACAATTCTTTGCTTTCATATGTTGACTTTGTAATGCTTATATTATTACTAATTAATTATCAGAAATTAGAATTATTCATATGTAGAAAATCAAAGAAGAAATATTACCAAAAGGTATGTTGGAAGAATAACCTTAAATTAAAACCACAGGATAACATAGCCTACTCTTTTTCTGTTAACCATGCTTATTCAATTACCAGCACACACTAGCAAACGGGCCTGGATTCACATTCCTACTTTAGAACCTAATTTCCTTTAGAGGGAGCTAGCTGCTTAGAAATGCTGCTCCAGTAGCACAAAATAATAAGATCAAAAACACCAAAGAAAGAAAGAGACTGGGAGAGATCAACAGTCAGCTACTTTATATGCCCCGCACATTTCAGAGACCAAATCTTGAAATCCTCACTCCGTGTTAACTGAGACAAAACTCTCATTGAAAACCCTCACCTGAGTGAAGTCAGTAGGGTTTTGCTATTGCCTTTAATAGGGGCAGGATTTCACCCTGAATGAAAAGATCTGTACTCAGGCAAAGATTGAGCCAACGCTAAGGCTTAGAAGTACAGGGTTGTGCAGACACACATAATCAGGGAGGGATCCTGCCTCAAGGATTCTGCCAGGAGACTGTGCTCAGAGCTGCAACCTTTCAAGGTGTGCAGCATATTCCCCCTTGTGCTCACTG